GCCCAAAGGCCGGCGCTGGGGGTGGAGTCTTCCACCGCAAGCGGCAGACTGAAAGGCTGTGCTAGAGGTCGAAGAATCTGTGCCAAGCACCATGAGACAACTCTCAGGGCGAAGGCATAGACCAGAGCTCCTCCCAAGAGACCTACAGCCTCCTCGGCTAAGGTGAGGACGTAGCTCAGTGGAAGAGAATGACAGAACCTCTTGTTCTCCTTTCTTACCTTTCCGACAACGATCTTCCTTAAGTGGGTCCTCCATGCCCAGAACCACACTCAATTCGCCTGGGCATGCCCACGCAAGTCGACAATTAATTAACCACCTCAGTGACGTACAACAGACTTTAATCCTATCTGTTCTCCATAGTACCCTGCCTTGCCCTCCCCTTCCCTCCCCCTCTGCTCTCGGTCCCATCCTCTTGTCCCTTCTGTTTTTATGGTGTCTTTTTTTTTTTCTAGATTCCACATAGGCAAGAAAATATCTAATACTTGTCTTTCTGAATTGGGTTTATTTTACTTAGTATCATGTTCGCCTGTTCTATCTACTGTCTCACAAACGACCTGATTTTCCTCATCTTTACTCCACTATGTATGTACATTTTCCTTATCCATTTGTATGCTGATGGCTACCTAGGCTGGTTCCACATCTTGGCTGTTGTGCAGTGTGCGGTGATAAACACAAGTATGCGGGAACTTCTGCAGTATGCTGACTTTAATTCTTTTGGGTGTATACTGAGTTGTGGTACAGGTGGATCTTTTTGTTTGTTTGTTTTTGATGCCAGGAATGAATTCAGGGCCTCATGCATACTGGGTAAGTGCTGTACCACTGAGCCACATCCAGAGCTCTTGGGACAACTTTCAACTCCCAAGTCTCTTGTTGAGTAGAAAAGAGGAAATAAGAGTATGACCTCCTCCCATTCCTTCTTCCTTTTGATTTTCTTTCGCTTCACATGTTCCTCCATTCATAATATTATTACAGACAGCTAAGTTAGGTAGAAATATTGTAGGCAGTCAACCAGGACTAGGTCTTTGAAGGAGTCAGTGTAGAACACATTATAACTGTGGGTGGAGGTGCTTTCACTGAAGGCTAGGCCTCAAGACAAAGATGGAATGGGTAGACCCACGTATTTCCCCAAGGGATAAGCAATGATGATCAATATTCTAAGTAGGTATCAGTCACCTGGGAGGGGACTAAGACCCCCTTGACGCATCCCTCCCAGGAAAGGTCCTTGTACTTTCCATGTATGGGACTTACTATGGGACTTGCTTCCCCGTTGGGTCAATATTACCCACATGACTATCCTTGTAATCTTATTGGTTGCCTATAGTTTAGTCCCACCTTATACCTACCTCATGATTTTGCTGTATAAAACCTCCTTTGAGAAGTGGGCTCATGAGCAACCCAGTTTCTGGGTCCCCTCCTGTCTCTCTTAGGCAGGAGATATCTTTCCCTCAATAACTATTTCCTGCTCTTAACCTCCCTTGTTCCTCAAAATTCATTCTTTGATTTTGTTGAACACAAACTCAGCATATGGGACATCTAGCAGGTTGGGAGTTATATTTCCCTATATCATTTGGAGATCCTGGTATCATTCCTATAATAGTATGTTCTAAGAAGGCACAGGCAATTGGGCTGGGGCTAGGGAAATAGTCTTAGGTCAAAGTATTTTTCCACTGGTATCTGTCAGGATCCTGCAGGAAACATCTGATTTGCATACAGGATTTAAAGAGCTTAATAAATGAAATATTTTCAAAGGTACAGACAGACTGAAGAAAAGCCAACAGGAATGGTTCAGAACAGAGACAACCCACCACAGGAACCCTAAGCCTGTAGGGTGCTAGGCTTCTGTGGGAGCCATAGCTGTGGAAGAGAGCCCACTGGAAATTCGTGTGGCAGAGGGAAACGCAACCACTGCAGAAGCCATGACCTGCCAAGGGGGCACATGGGATAAATAGGTGGACCTGTCTTCATTCCTTCCCTCTAATCTAGGTTAGCATTGCCTGTCAGCCAAACCCAACTGGGAGCCAGAGTAGTACCGATAGGATATTAGGAGCTAAAGACTTCATTCCCCTCCACCCACTTGAGCTCAGAGGTCATTTTAGGAGCATACCACATAACTCCAGAACAAAGTACACGCAAGCTCTTTTTTTCCTCTCTTGTTCTTGGGCCCAAGAGGCTGATTTGTCTGCAGGGATTCGCTGTTCCTCTTCTATCTTCCATGTCTCTGTTTGTGACCTTCACTAATTGTACCTGCCTTCCCCTCACCATTGTGTGTATGCTTCACAAGTCATTGCTTGCCAGACCCAAGAGCCTAAAATTTATCTGTTGGATCCACTATGCGGTAACAAGAGGACAGGGAAGGCTGTCATCTTCAGCCTCCAAGGGCACAGGCAAGACAAAGGGCGGAGAATGGAGGACTCTGGAAATTTAAAAAATGCTCTGCTTATCCCATAAAGCAACGCACTATGTATAGCTTATTAGTACCTTGCCTGAGAACACCGGACTTCCTAAGCACCAGAAGAAATGTACCACTATGGTAGGCAAGCTCAACATGGATGGGTTTGGTTCCCCTCCGCACACATACACAGCCTATCTCCTTACTCTACAGTCTGCTTCTCTCAGGGACTATAAAAGTCTCTGCCAACATGTACGTGTTTCTAGCATTACAGATATGAGGAAGGCCATTCTGTTCCATTAGAACTGCTCCACTGCCCTCATGGCTAAGAGTCTGATTAGGTACAAACTGGTGACAAACTGCTCACTGTTTCCTAAGAGAAACTTCGATTACTGAACAAATGTTTATAGAAAGCTGTTGATATGAGGCCACAATATTCATTGAAAAATTTCCTCTTCTAAGTAATAGATTCTACCAAAGTTAGGTCCTTAAAGAGCAACTTCACATTTTAAAACTGGAATTTTCTTTTTAATGTATACCTTACAGACAATTCAACACTGTCAGTACACATGGCTGTGTCTTATTCTCCTCAGGTGTTTTGCTAAATGGGGTCTAGAACACCAGAGATTCTCATTTGCTGCTGCTGCTGCTACATAGTAAAATCACCTCAAGAGCAGAGTGAAGCGTTAGGTCACTGGGTGAAGACAGATAAAGATTACACACTCTTAGATACAAGAACAATGACTGTGTTATTGACTAGCTAGTTAAAGTTTACAGAGGAAGAGAAATAGTACAAAATTAAACTGGAATGTTGTATAGAAACACAGCACTCAGGAACAAAACCTAAAAACTTGGAAAACCCAGTGGCAGTTTCCATGTATTCCAGTGAACTTACCTTTGCCCTGCTAGCCTGTGCTTGCGTGTCCTGGGAAGCTGACCTGTGAGCTGTGTCACAGCCCTCCAGCTTCTGCTAGGGTCTGAGTAGCCGCTGGAGGGCTCCCGGCAGATGGAAGAGATGAGGGTAAGGTTGGAAAGTGTATCCCCCTTCCTACTCTTCCCTGGTGTGGGGTCACTGCAATCCGGCTGCACCTCTCCACAAGCTGTGTGAGACTACATTTGTCCATTTGTTCTCTCTGGTTCCAGTGATCCTCTCCCCTTGAGGCTTGGGGAACTGCAGAATTCTACCCAAAACTATGTATGGAAAGAGTCTTATTTGTTGTTAAATTACTCAACTGGAATGTGCCATCTGTTTCCTGCCAGGACCTCGAGTGACACATTTAGTCCCAAGAATCTCGCAATGTTTATTGACTACTCCATGCCAGCTGAACTGTTAATGCCTTCAAGGCCGTCTGGAGAATGGAGATAACCACTAAAATAGATCATTATATTCCATCTTGATAAGTGCTCCAAAGGCAAGGGTGGCGGGTAAAGGTTTGCAGCAAGAGGAGACTCAGGGATTTCTTGGCTAAGGTGGGGTCAGGCAGGGAGCCAGACAGAAATGGTCAGGAGCTTTGACATCTGAGAGCCCTCTGTAGCCAAGGACCTCCAGAGCCAGTAAGGGTTTGGTAGGGGATTAGAAGAGTAAAGGGCTAGGCTGTGGCAGGCCAAAGGAAGCACTGTACCACTGGGAAGGCACCCTTCCCTGTGTGCTTACTCTCCTTGCGGAAGAGAACACAAGGGCACAGGCAAAGTCTGTAGCCTGTCACTGCCAGCCCTCTGATCCTGCCCCACTACCAGGGCGTGGCACTCCTACTTCTCAGCTTTGAAGTCATCCCCCTACCTTTCCTGCACATTTTAGAGTCTTTACGGTTGCAAAAAGACAACATGATAAACTAGGCCCTTGGAGATGAAGGCTAGAAGTGATGTTCCCAAATGCATTCATGAAGCCCTGGAGGCCAGAACCCTTTTTCTTTTTCTCTGATAGCAGCATGTAATGCTGACAATGTTCTTGTCCACAGGGGGAAAAAGACAAAGTGGGAAAGGGTAGGAAGCCAGCTTCACTTCATGAAGTGAATCACCAAGGTTAAGTTTTGGTTTATATGTTTGGGAAGGTGGGCGTTTTTGTTTGTTTTGTGGTGCTGGGAATCAAATCCAAAGCCTTGCTAGACAAGTGCTCTACCACAGGTGGGCGTTTTACAATCCATTTTACCCACCCTGTAGGCAAGGCCAGGGTCCAGGTGCCGGCTTGCCCTGCCTCCATCACAAACTGCAAGTGGTTTCCTTAGTAGAGGAAGCTAAGCCCACTGCCGCCCACACCACCCAAGCTTTCTAGTTGACACTTCCCTGGCATCAGAGCCAGTCTTCTAGGTTAAGGAGGCCTTTAATTTAAAACGCACATAACTCCATCCAACTAAGAGGGTGCCACACTGCCCTCGCCACAAATAAGAGACGGAGGAAGAGTTACAAGTGGTGGGCATGAGATCCTCAGAGAGCTCCCTGTAGAAGAACCGGATCCGCCGCTCGAGCCCTCCGCGAGGTTCCAGGCCCGGCCAGAGGGCGGCCCGCGCCGCGCGATCCGGGGTGGGGCCCCTCGCAGGGCCGGCCCCCCACTCCCCAGGCCCCAGCGCCCGGCCGGCCCCCAGGAAGCCCCTCCCCGCAGGCGGAGACCGCGCCGAGAAGTCGCCGCCCGGGCCGCCGCCGGGCCAGTGTCCAGGGGCCGCCCCGCCTGGCCGAGCTCCGAGGCTGCCGCGGCGCGGAGTATGGGGCTCTGATGGCCATGGACGGCTACAAGGGCTTCCTGGGACTCCTGGTGTCGGCGCTGCTCGTCGGCTTTCTGTCGGTGATCTTCACGCTTGTCTGGGTCCTGCACTACCGGGAGGGGCTCGGCTGGGACGGGACCGCGCTCCAGTTTAACTGGCACCCGGTGCTCACGGTGACCGGCTTCGTCTTCATCCAAGGGCTAGGTAACCGGGCACCCCGGGGCGCGGGCCGGACTTCGGGCGCTGGGACGCGGCGCGCGGTGACAGTCGCCCCGCGCGGCGAGCTCGGTGCGGTGGGGGGCTCCCTGGCCACCGCCTCTGAAGGTGGCCGTGGGGACCGGGCCTGCACGGTCAGGGGCGCAGAATCGTCTTTAGATGGGCTGCAGAGTGAGAGAGGATGGCAGAGGAGAGGAGTGAGGGTGTAGGGGAGAACCGGCCTGTCCCCCTACCGCCCTCGGCCCAGGGCAGCTGGTGGCCAGGCGAGTGGAGCATCCTCCCCGGGTCTCACTCCGCCCACAGAGTCAACGCTCAGTGGAGCCCTGGGGAGCTGCCAGCGCGCAGAGGAGTTTCACTGCCCTGCCCAGGCACTGGATGGTCTTGAGCTCAACTTGTTTATGTGGCAGCCCACGGGCGAAAGTTCCCCTGCCAGGCTTCCTGTTGGGCTGCGGCCCCGAATTCGGGGCTGCGACCGTGGTGTGTTGCTTCTCTTATATAAGGGCCTGGAAGTTTCCTTCGGAAACTTTTGTTTGGCTGTAGGAACCCCGAGCTGCTGGTGCAAGCAGCGTTTGTTTGTAACCACCTTCCTAAAAGTGCAGGGGGGCGGTGGCTTTGGGAACTCATTTAGAAAAAGGAAGTGGTGTACTGGGGTTCTTAGGGAGAATAATACAGAGTAGTGGAACAAACTCCAAAAGAGATGCTCACCTGTTGAGACAGGCTGGCTTCTGAGCAGGCTGCCTTTTCTTCACCAGAATTAACTTCCTGCAAGCAAAGCGAACAGTCAAACACCGACCTCGTTTCTAAAGGAAATTGCTATTCTGGCTTTCCGCTTTTAACCTGGGCTACAACCTTCGGCGAGTGTGGCCCAGATTCTCCCACTGGGGCCTATCGTGGAGGGTGTTACCAATGCTCAGCCTTAGGAGGCTTCGCTGGTGTGAGATTTGAAGTCAGGGAAGATCACTGGCCATCTGAGTCATTGCGTTGCATAATTCCCAGCTCTTGTACCGCTACTCTAAGATGAGAAAAACATACCCGAAGTCGCTTTCACCAGAAGCACTCTTTCCTTCATGGTGGAGCCTGAAGTTTAGCCAGAGCTGTCAACACCTTCTGTTTGCTCAGAGTAGTCCAAATGCGCTGTTCATCTCTTCCATCGTCTTCCTCTTAGAACGGCTCCTAATAACAAGAAACTTCAGAGGCTTGGAATGTGTTTCCCTAAGTGAGGAGGCAGCGCTTGTCATCTGACCCCAACAAGGAGACAAAGCCACAAAAGGGGTGAACAGACTGTTCTGTGTGCCCACCAGGTGCACTGTATAAGAATAAACTGAGGCGCAGAGGAGCTGGTAGCTTCTCATGGAAATAGTGTGTCCTTTCTTTTCTGTTTTTTTTTTTTTCCCCCCCCTTTGGAACCAGAAATCGAACTCAGGACCTCGAGCTTGCCAGGCAGGCCCTGTGCCACTGAGCTATATCTTGGGCCCTTTAAGTCCTTTCAGTTGCTTTATTTTCAAGGATTATTTCTAGCTTTTATAACAATATGATTATTTTCTGAAAATTCTTCTTTTCAAAGAAACCTAAAATAGCTTCACCTGAAATAGACCTTTTTTTTTGGTCTTTTTGAGACAGGGTCTCGCTATGGAGTTCAGACTGGGCTTGAGCTCACTTTGTAGTCTAGGCTGGCTTTGAACTCACAGTGATCCTCCTGCCTCAGCCTCCCAAGTGCTGGGATTGGGGCTGGGGATTTAGCTCAGCGGCACAGTGCCTGCCTGGCAAGCGCAAGATTGTGAGTTTGATTCCTGGTACCAGAAGAAAAAACAAACCGAGTGCTGGGATTACAGGCGTGTGCCACCACGCCCGGTGAAATATACTTTTGGAAAGTCTTCATTCATATTAGAATCTACTTCATAGTTTTTCCAAAAGGTTATCTAATTTCTCTAAACTTTGGATTTCTCATAACCTGTTTATTCTTACTTTTGGGCATAAATGTATAAACAGATACTTTGGAAATTTTCATCTGTTTCTCTTCTGCAAACCTTTTTTTTTAAAGACTTAGTCACTATATTTGTGTTAATGTTCCACGGTTTCTCCTGTCAACATGACCCATCCTGTTTACTGCTTGGATCCTGTTTGTGCAAAACATTTTAATCACGTAATATGTCTAATCGACATGAGCTTCAGCTTTTTCGTAGCTGCAGACACATGCATAGCTGTGTTCTCCCTGGTTCTTTCTGTGTCTTGGCCACACACACTCCTCAGCCCGAGCGGGAGGGAGGTTGGTGGGAGGAGGGAGAGCCAGTGAAGACGCTTCTTGATTTGTGATGAGGTTACCTCCCTGATAAACTCACTGCATGTTGAAAATACGGTAACTGCAGGATGCACCTGGCACACCTAACCCACCCAACATCCTGGCTGGGCAGCCCAGTGCACTGTAGAGAATCAGTCTGTTACCGTGGAGATGGCCTGGCAGGCTGGGGGCTGTGGCTCATGGGCACCCCCGGCATAGGGGGAGAGTATCACACCACATATCACTAGCTTGGGAAAAGATCAGAATTCAAAATTTGAAGTATAGTTTCTGCCTGATATATACGACTGTCATACCAGTGTAAAGTCAAATACTTGTTAAGTGGAACCATCTTAAATTGGAGACCGTCTGTAGTTGACTTTGTAGACTGTGAGGAAAATACATGTTATAGACTAGCCATGCAACAAAGGCTCTGTGTGTGTGTGTGTGTGTGTGTGTGTGCGCGCGTGCGCATATTTTTCCTTAAGGGAAGAAACTTTAAGGCTATGAGATTTCAAATCTCTTAACAGTGAACACAGTATAATAGAGCTCTTCTGTAATACACGCATATTTGGAGATGAGGAAGGAAAGGTTAGAGTGCAGCTATTATTCAACGCACAGAATGCTTTACAAATGCAATATACAAACCATAGGCACCATTTGAAACTAGATTAAGAATAAGTATGATTCTTTGAAACCTTCTAATATAGAAGTTACAAAATCAACCTCTCTCCTTCTTTACACACACACACACACACACACACACACACACAAACACACACCCTTGAAGTATATTTTGGAAAATGTATGTACTCTAAAATAAAGTATGACAGTTTATGGGAAATGTAAAACAAAAATTTTGAACAAAGTTCTTGCTCTGTTTCCCATGCTGGACTTGGGGGTTCAAGTAGTCCTCCTGCCTCAGCCTCCCAAGTACTGGGACTATAGCCCCACACCACTAAGCCTGTCTAAATAAAATCTTCAAATACTGGGAAATCTACCTAACAGATTCTGAAATGAATGAGGAAAACTTTAGAAGAGGCTTTGTGTTTCTGTAAATGGAATGATTCCCATGGAATAAGTACTATACTGTCAGGAAATCAGAGAAACAGCCCTTGTAAATAAGGTCACAGAAAAGACTGAAACAAATAAATGTTCTCAGAGTGGCTGTTGGCCTTTTAAAAGATTCAACAAGGTGGAGTGTGTTCTTTAGTAAAATGTAGACAATTCGGGTGTCTACGTTTAGCGCAAAGCAGTCTTGGCAATCCTATACTCTTTACTTTCCCACAAGTAGAATTCCTTTTGTGTTATAAACTAAAGAAAGAGAAATTAAATAGTTTAATGTTCTCAAGTGGGTTTGCTGAGAGAATAGAACTACTATTTAAATAACATCTTAAAAAAAAACAAAAAAATTAAGGGCGGTTCTTAAAAGTGGTTGGAATATCCTGTTAATACATCTCAAAGTGACCAAATTCCAAGAATATTTAAATATATTTGAAAAAGCTCTTGGGCTAAAACCTGGCAAAGAAGATAATGGAGAAAGTGCTCCAAATAGCTACTCAAAAACCAGCTTTGAGGGAAAAGTAAGCCTTGATAACAAAAGCTATCAATCTTACAGAAGTGAGGTTTTTTTTTGTTTTTGTTTTTTGTTTTTTTGTCTTTTTGAGACAGGGTCTTGCTATGCAGTTCAGGCTGGCCTTGAGCTCACTTTGTAGTCCAGGCTGGTCCTGAATTTGCACCTATCCTCCTGCCTCAGCCTCCCGAGTGCTGGGATTCCAGACATGCGCCACCATGCCTGGTAAGAAGTGTGGGTTTTAACAAAGTATACAGGGACACTTCCAAGCAACTCAAGACATTTAATTTTTATTATACATAAATGCATGCAAATCTCTTAATAATGTAACTGGTAGTAATGTTTGAGATAGGACTATTTTGCTCACGACTGTATCCCCAGCATCTACAGTAGCACATAATAAGCAGTAAATGTTGTATGGTTATTTCTATACCAGCATTAAATTGTTAGTAAGAAAAATGCAATTTTACAGCCACTCATTTGTGACGATGATAATGGCATCTGAAGCAGAATTGCCCTTCTCCTCTCCTAATGCTTGTCCCGTTCAGCAGTTTAGAAGCACTGCCTAGTCAACTCCAGGGGAGGATGGACGTCGTGTTGCACTAGAAAGGCATCTTTAGTCTAAGCTCACCGCTGCCTAGGGACTACCTGTGTCTCTTCCTGCTCGCCTAAGGCAATACTGCATCAAGTTTCTTTTTCTTCTGAATCATTTTCTTCCCCATTGGATTATTTCCAATGTGTTATAATCTGTCACCATAAAAAAACCCGAAACCCACACTCTTGACCTTGTATCCCTTTCCAGCCACAGCCTCCATTTTCTGCTTGCCTTCCCAAAGAACTTTTTGAAATATGTCAGTACCTGCAGTTCCCAGTTCCTTTCCTGTTGTTGTCACTTGAACCTTCCCTAGTCAGGCTTTTCTCCCTGTGCTTCATAAAATTGCTCTTCATGTAGTAACCAGAGACTTCTCCTTTGGTAATATCAGTGGTCAGTTCTCAGTCCTCATCATGCTTGACTGGAAGCCAATATTTGACATAGCTGACCCTCTCCCTGCCTTCTGGGGACACAGCTTTACTTGGCTGTACTTTCTTCACTTGGATTGAGTGGATTCTGGGATACCTGTCTTCCCCTTCTTGGCCACC